GGTCCCAGGATGTTTATACTTTGCAAGTTGCATCCTGAGATGAAAGGCTATACAATGTGTTCAACATAATGACTTTGTTCGACTTTCAATCACAGGGGTGAAATGTTTTAAAAAAAATTAACAGGGTCTTTTGAACGAATTTTAATCATAAATACTGATATTTTGCCTGTAGCTTTATTTTAGATCACTTTTAAGGTTACAAGTGTGAGTTTTATACCAGGTGAGCGATGCAGGCCCATTGGGCCTCTTGTTAATAATCAAATATATTCCCCAAGTAAATCTTGCACATCAAAGTATATAAGTCTCTAATAAATATTGCTTATTCACGATTAACACTCAATATTTTGTAATCACTACAAAATCACTTATTAAATTACTATACTATATTTGATAATCAAAAGTATATGTTTCTTTTACAGGAAAGTTCCAATCACCCCAAGTCAAAGAATGGGTGGAGGAATTGAAGAGGATACGTCAGGAAAATCATAAGAATGATAAAACTTGATGTTTTTTTAATTTATTTAAATTGGACATTCAAAAAAATGTGGATAAGATACCCCATAGTAAAATCTGAAGCATGCTCGGAGCATATTTGCCGACTCTCCCTATTAAGGATGGAGACTTCTGCTTTTGGACCTTTAAATTACATATTTTCAACCAGTGAATTTGCTAAATTATTCCTATATTCTAAGAACTAATGATTTCATCTGAAAGAACAGCTCGAAAGATGTAATAATAAAGGGTTATTTTGTCTCTAGTGGGTAAATACAAACATTCTATTTAAGTTTTAATTTTGAACATGCAGAATCTCCCCCAAGAGAAATTTTATAAAGTTTGCAAATATGCCAGAGCTTCTGTCCCATACCTACGCTGGTCCTTTAGCTTGTTCACGCCTCTGCTGCTGGCTGACGGCAACCAGCGATGAGATCAATGGACATGTTTAAAGCTTTTAACTCGGTGATACATGTTGTTGATGTGCTCGGGTCTCAGCTGCTCATGAGGTCGTGTGTGTCACTACCTGAGCTTGTACTGCTGTATTTTCAAAAGGGCCTAGTGATGACCAAAAATATACAATTTTTCCATGATTGACATTTGCTTGTGGTCTGTGTTATTATGTCTCCCCTTCGAATGAAAGGAGACATATTGTATTAGTACTGGTTCTTCTGGTTCTTCTTCTTCTGTTTTTTCAAATCACAACTCGTCCAGGCCATAAGTTTTAAACCGTTAAAGATATCTTGATGAACTTGAGATAAGCCTGCATCACCCACAGAAGGAGTGCAGTGCACTGGAATTAGGTCACTGTGACCTTCACCTCAAGGTCAAATGTCAAATACATTGTAAGTGCAACATTTTCAGTAAATTCTTGTCCGGCCTGTAAATTTAAAACTGTTAAAGATATCTTGATCAAAATTAAAGAATACCTGCATAACCCACAGAATGTGTGCAATGCACTGGAATTAGGTCTTGTGCCCCACTATATACAGAGTTATGTCCCTTTGTTTATTTTATAGACCGAAGTCTGTCCGGAGCATATATTCCATGTTATTTCACCTATGTTGTCCAAACTTACCATGTTTATGTATCTTGGGAAGGCAAAATCTCTCACACTGAAATCGGGTCTTGTGCCCCAATATATACAGAGTTATGGCCCTTTGTTTATTTTTTATATTGGCATAACTTCTACACTGTTAAAGGTCAAATGTCAAATTAAAAGTATGTGCAAATTTTTCAGGAACATCTTGTCCAGGCTGTAACTTTTCAACTGTTGAAGATATCTTGATGAAACTTGAAATATACCTGCATCACCCATAAATGGTGTGCAGTGCACTTTCATTATGTAATTGTGAAAGGGTCAAAGGTCAAAAAGTCTCATTGTTGCAAACATTTAAAGGTGTACGCCAAGGTGTATATCTGCACCACCACCAGACGATGTACAGTGCACTGTTGTTAGGTCATTGTGACCTTGACCTCGAGGTCAAAGGTCAAATAAGTGCAGCAAAGATTTAAGGAATATCTTTTCTTGGCTGTTACTTTTAAACTGTTTAAGGGGAGACATTGTTTTTTGTTCACAAAAACAAATTTGTATTTATCTGTGATCTATATTTTCACTTTTAAAGGTCAGTATTAAAGGTCAGTATATATCTGGTATTAATATTGTTTATGTAATATTTGTATGTTTTCCCTTTGTATCATGTTTTCATTCTGTTTTGATTTTAGTTTACTTTCAACTATCTATCATTAATAAATTTGCATAAATTGAATTGAATTTGTGTTAACAACAGCAAAATTCTGATGTACCTATATTACACATGTATATTACATGCATATTACGTTTTATTTTCAAAGATATTAGCATGCTCACACACAATGATCTGATTTTATTTTATATTCTTCAAGTAATCGTAGATGTATTGTAGTTTAAACATAAAAGGTTAGATTCTCATCAAAACTTAGAAATATCTCAAAATGATCCCAGTTGACAGTAACTACTAGTGAAAAACTAAAACTAAATTGTTCCGAGTATGTCACTGTTAAATGCTAAAATGACTGGACTGTTGGAATAATCAGGCAGTTTGATGACTTTGTTTTATCAATATATATGTTCAATGTATGTATACTGAAATGCTTGCCCCATCAAAAACAATTGACGGTTTAGAACACTTTAGATATGTTTTAATATTTTGTATTTTACATTGATATACAATTTGGTTACTGGATCTACCTCCTTTTGCTCTAACTGCCTCGACTTCAAAACTTTTACATCATTTGGTTAACGTTGTCATGTTTTTTTCTCGCTGCCATGAAGTGGAAGCAACACTTTAGGTATTGCTTTTTCCGGCGACGGCGGCGTCAACATAATTTTTTTGCATTTAAGTCTGTTTCACTGTAAGTATAAGTTCTAGACCAACCAAACTTGGACCATAGATGCATCTTAGGTTGTACATCTCAACCCATGCATCAAATACTGGATGCGACCTACCTTTCATGGTCCATTGACTTTGTCAGCATCTCCATCACCATTAAGTTTTTGTGTTTTAATTAGTTTTTCTGATATTTGCATTGATGGTCAAAGCCATATCAATCCGAATGGCTTGTTCATGTAATAGATAATCAGATCAGTGAACTTTCATTGTCGTTCAGAAAGTAAAAATTTTGACACCAACCAAAGATATTCCAAGATTTCTATTTAACTCGAGAGATTTGAATGTTTAAGAAAAGCAGCATACAGTCTTGGTGGAATTATTCGTGATTTTATCAGGTTTTTTTGGTACATGTACTGATATTCTTTTATGGCAGTATTGATACTTTTTTTTCAACATTTGTCATGCTTTCGAAATTACCAAAATATTTGCTCCTTGCTTTAAAACTTTTTCTGCAGGTTGGTAAGGGTATATTGTATACAGGTTCATATAACACAACCAGTGAAATAGTTGATATCAAAGTTTTACTTTCTACACAAACAATGTAATTATTAAATGTGTTAAAACGTTTGAAGACCGACTGGTCCTGACAAAAGGACCAGTCGGTCTTGAAACATTGCTACCACATGTTTAATGCTTACATTGTTTGTGTAGAAAGTAAAACTTTGATATAACATATTTCCAAACTGATGAATCTTATTGAAGACTGTGAAATGTTTGTTCCGCCACTCATTCTGAATGATGACGGACAGACAACGGAGATTAGAATCGTGTATTGATTCCTCTAATGACATCGTCAGAATCTGTGGCGACACGAAGCCAGACTGACAAGTTACTTTGTTTATTCCATCAACGTAAAAAAGACTCATGAAAGCCAGAGTGAAAATATCATGGCTGCGTCCATGTTGACGGCATGGTCTATACTAGGGGATATAACTACGATCGGTAATTATGTAAGGTGTCTCGTCATCAAATCCACCACAAGCCTCAAAGCATGAAAATAAAGGCATCGTTCCGGTACAATGTTTATCTGCTTTGGTATGATGTGTACTGTCACCTTCATCAGACACATTAATGCCTGATCACAATGACATGGAGCACATGTCGTATTAGTCCTTGAATGTCGCTATGAACCTGTATACAATCTTCGTTAGTCGTCGTGTTTTCAGAAACCAATGACAAACATTTTGATTTGTATAAAAACAAATTGGCTACCATTATTGTCACATTGTCCGTCATATAAATAACATGTCATAACAAAGGTTTTCCAAGAAGTATGATGGTGAACAATAGAAATTTTCAGCTATTTAATATTAGAAAATGGAATAAATGATTGTTGTTTATATCTATATAAATGTATCATGCCATAGAATTCATAAATTATCCAAACAATAAACAAGAAATCCCAGAGGGATCTTGGCGCCAACCATTGTACCATCTTCAATAGTTATTTGTCAGTTTGATCTTTAATTTTCTCCTATCTGTTTGATGTAGTCAAAGTAAATGGGGTAACTTTTGATCTAAACTTAACACTGCTGTGTATAAAAGACAACCTTCAAAGCATGATTTTCGTCTCATATATTTACTAGCACATTACTTAGTGTGTAAAAAATAGAACAGATTATTGCAATATATTGAAGATCAGTTAAGGTCTTCCTGTCAGCCATATTGATTATCCGATCAGTCTCAACTACATTTCAAAATCCAAGATGGTCACTTGCATTGTCGGCCGTTTTTTTTATCTGATCAGTCTCAAAAGTTAATGTGCAGACCAAGAGAAATCTACATATTATATTTGAGAGTGATCGCTCTAGTACACCGTACATCATCAGAAATGGCGATAACAAAACTTCACCGTCAAATCCAAGATTGCTGCCTGTCGGCCATTTTTTTATCCAATCAGTTTAAAAAATAAGCATGCACATTAATAAGGGACCAAGAGTGACCTACGAATACAATTTGAGAAAGATCCCTCAAGTACTTCCTCAGAAATAGCGGTAACCAACCTTCAATGCAAAAAATACAAGGCTGTCTGTCAGCAATTTTGTGTATCCTATCAATCTCAAAACTACAGACCTAACGAAATCTATGTGTTGAGTAAGAGCGAAAACAAACATTCACTGTCAAAATCCAAGATAGTCGCTTGTCGGCCATTTTGTTTATCCGATCAGTCTCAAAAGTAAACATCTACAACTACGGAACAAGGGGAACCTTCATATCAAATTTCACATAATAAATCAATCACTTCACTTCAGTCACCGATATTGCGCAAATAAAGCATATAAAGGGTGTCCCGCACCTTTTAATTCACTGAGGATTTTGAAATATTTCGTTTTCTTTAAACAATATTTAAGTTTCCAAAAACAGAACTGGTATTATTTTGGTTGTTTTTGCTCAGTTTGAAAACAGCAAATTACATTTGTGATTTACCCTTTTGGTACCCCACAAACCCACGTTCAGTCAAACTTATGCCATAGTTCCTGAGCATTTGACACAATAAGACATCTTGGAACAAATTAAGCAGGTAAAAATCCGGATATACTGGGGCCCAAAAGGAGGCCTTTTAGACACTCATCCTGTTTACTATTTGTTTGAAAGAAATCATTTTGGTAATCTCTTCCCAGTAACAATTCCGGCAGGTTCGGGGACACAATGGTCCTGCTGCATCCCTTTCCCTAGTAACAATTCCGGCAGGTTCGGGGGCACAATTATCCTGCTGCATCCCTTTCCCTAGTAACAATTCCGGCAGGTTCGGGTACACAATGGTCCTGCTGCATCCCTTTCCCTATTAA